TCTATATGAACTGACAGACGAAGTCCAGAGGTTCATCAAGCAACCTCTGGACCCGACAGCTTACCGACAGGCCCTGAACGGCATTCACAGGGACTCAGTCTCGAGTTATGTAGACTCTAGACCTGTGAATGCCGTTCTAGGCATACCACCCCCAGACATAGACGAGACGGAGCTTCATCTGCCTCGGGAGACTCGCACAACACTTGCACAACTTCGATCCGGCTACTGCAGCAGGTTGAACTCCTACCTGAGTAGTTTGAATGAGGATGTGCCGAATGAGTGTCCGGCATGCGGAGAGACCCCACATGACTCGAAACATCTCTTCGCAGGCCCGGAAAACCCGACAACCCTAACGGCCTTGTCCCTGTGGACAAACCCCACAGAAGCTGCACGCTTCCTAGGGTTGCCGTTAGTGGAACTTGGCGACAACGACTGAGATACCAACCGTCCTGGGCGGGGTTGTTGTAGCCGCTACAACAACAACATCAGACTTCTTTTTTCTAGACTTCAGCAGGGATCGAACCTGCGAATTCGATGTTCAAAGTCAGAAGCGTTAACCACTGAGCTATGTACATCCCGTAAACTCTTGTTGCTAATTCATTTCCTTATTCAACCAACTACTATCAAGTGCAGCTGATTTGCCGCTATTTAAACCCGACAGCGTGGTTGTTGTTGTCAATTCTATACATCCATTTGCTTATTTGCTTTTTTGTATAGTTTAAGGCAGGCTCTTCCTAAACTATGTATTTGTCAATGTTATTGTGGCTTATTAACATTTTATTTTTAATATTTTTATTGTTTTTATTGAGCTTTGTTTGATTTTTACGTAAAAATGGTATAGCAGTGAAAGTATGCATAACTGGGCTATTATAATCTCTAAGTGCGGCTGAAGGCCGTCTACGCAGAAAGGTGTTCTCTGCAAAAAGTGTTCAGCTCCGTTTCTTCGCAAAACAGACGGGAGGATTCTACTTAGTGAGGGTTATAATGCCTAAGTGCGGCCGAAGGCCGCTTACGTAGAAAGGTGTTCTCTGCAAAAAGTGTTCAGCTCCGTTTCTTCGCAAAACAGACGGGAGAATTCTACTTAGTGAGGGTTATAATCCCTAAGTGCGGCCGAAGGCCGCCTACGCAGAAACGTATTCTCTGCAAAAGGTGTTCAGTCCCTTTTCTTCGCAAAACAGAAAGGAGAATTCTGCTTAGAGAGGGTTATAATCCCTAAGTGCGGATTCACCTGCGGCGCTTTTTTCAAAAAAATCAATACTTTGATAAATAATGAAAATTTTTTATAAAAAAATCGCTAGATTTTTTATTAAACATTTTTGCCTGCGGCGCTTTTTAAAAAAAAAAACCAATACTTCGATAAATAATCAAAATTTTTTATAAAAAATCGCGCGATCTTTTATTAAACATTTTCGACTGCGGCACTTTTTTCACAAAAATCAGTACTTCGATAAATAATAATAATTTTTATAAAAAATCACGCAATTTTTTGTTACAAATTCTCGTCTGCGGCGCTTAAAAAAAAAACAATACTTCGATAAATAAATAATGATAAATTTTCGCCTGCGGCGCTTATAAAAATCTATAATTCGATACATAATGAAAATTTTTATTCAAATCAATACCTCGCCTCGTACTCTCTCTACTATTGCTTTGCATAGCCGTAACACGTCGCTTTCTTTTTTCCCCTTCTCTGTACTATATCTTCCTTCTTATTCATGTAACATTTTCTGTTTTAAAAATTTCACTCACCATTTTTGCGATACCGACGCCTAAGAAGTTTCACTTCAAAAATTTGCCGATAAGTGGCGTATAAGTCGACATATTTGGTAAAGCAGTATTTACTGTCCGATTTCGTTTATATTTAGAAAACTTGTTTTAAAAATATTTTTTTTCTATTAGATAACTTATTTTTCTGGTAATTCTCTAGTATAGGGTAACAACCTCTAAAATAGGTCCGGAAAAGTCGGGAGGGGTACCAAACGACGCGTTTCGGTCCCCCTATTTTTTCATCGTGTTTGCTGCAAAGACGTTTCTGAATACGATTTCAATTTGGTCAAAACAAAACGTAATCTATTATATATTTGTGATGAGTGTGTTGTCATGCCAGAGAAACTCGTTAAGGCTCTGGATGCAGTTCTGGGAACTCAAAAGCTTAGTATTGATCTTATTTCAAATACCTTTGATGCTAAATTCAAAGATTTGTCGAAACAATTTGATGCAATAAAAGATCTAATAATCTCCTTGCATTCGACCAACAACAACTCGAGTGCAAATAACCTTAACGCTGTGAATGCTGATATGATGGCTGCGGAATTCAATGCCAGAAAAAACTGCTGCTAATATTTCTTACACAATAACTACTATTGTTCCTCGCCTAGTCTTTTGGAGTTTTCCGCTGCCTCTCATGCATTTAATTCGCCACGGGCACAGTTTGTCAGTAACGTTAACGGTATCTCTCCCGCTCATTTGGATTCTGCATGGACAATCGCTACAGCTGTCAATACACTTGTAACTAACGATAGCACATACACCTCTATTACTGCGCCTACATCGCTGTCATCCGTTGCTCTTCAATCTACACCTGCTGTCTCTCTTAACACTGCTTCTACTAGACCATCTTGCTCGTCGTTCGCTGATGCTGTTTTGTTGCCTAATACTAATACTAATATTAATACTAACACTAGTTCGCATGGCTCTAATACTGTACGTCAAGTTGGTGGCCTCATGGATGCAAATACTGTCGCAGATTTCACTGTCAATTTACCTGCTGTTACTACTACCGCTACGAAGCCATCAACCCCGTGCACTGCTAATGCAGTTGTTGCTGCTAATACATCTTTACCCGGTATGAGCTACGCTGCTGCTGCCGCCGCTGGCACTAATTCCGTGCAATCGAATAGAAATCGCTCTGTTAGGTCTCCTGCCGGTGCTGTTGCGGAAATCAACACCGATGATTCTTATAATTCAATTACAAATTAGGCTGCTGCTGCTGATACATTTTCTGTGCAATCTAATGTTAATCACGCTTCATCGCCTATCCCTCTTTCTACTAATTCCGCAGCGCGCGACATTGCCTGTGCTAATCCAAATGCAAACACTTTAACTGCATTAGGGTGTGCCAATATGCGTTTACCTATTAATACAGCCGCTTCGCCTTCTACGCTTATTAATGATCTTAATGATATCGGGGCTAATGTACCTCGTAACAATAATGCTAAGAAAGTGAATGATCTGCGGGTTTTTGGATCCAGTACTAACGCTGATCTTAAGGTTGCCGAGCATTTAAAGTGGCTTCATCTCGCCTCGTTTATGCCATCAGTGGAGACTGATGATATACTTATATATGTAGAAAAACATTCGGGCATCTCTAAAAACCTTTTATCCTGTTTCAAACTTGTAAAGAAAGATGCGGCAACTGAGTCACTAAAACATGTGAATTTTAAATTGGGTGTTCCAGAAGGGCTCTTTCGTAAGCTGCTTATGCCCGAAATCTGGCCTGCCAATGTTACGGTTCGTCCTTTTCGTTTTTTACAAAGAAAGGAAAAACAGTCTCAACCAGCCTAGTAAATGTTAAACCTGCGAATGAGATGAAAATCTATTTTCATAATGTGTCTGGCATGCGATCTAAAGGTGATGTGGTTCGTAGACTAAGCTCACATCAAGAATATGACATTTTCATTATAATTGAAAGTTGGCTAACCCCAAATTTCTTTGATGCTGAATTCTTTGATGCTACTCTCTATAATGTATTTCGGAAGGATAGAGATGAATTAAAAACTGTTCGAGAGGTGGTGGAGTTTTAATCGCGGTACAACGTAAACTCTGTTCAGCGTCTATCAATTTGAAAAA